CTCCTTAGTTTGCCTTCCTTATAAGCCCTCAGTTTCTGTGTCTTCTTTGTCTCGGATTAATGTTATTTTCAACGGTTATAGTGTGTTGATGCTTATTAAAAACTACTTTTCTTCTACTCCTTCGTCGTGCGCAATTACTACAACCACAACCCCGTGACCGAATCCGAGACCCAAAACTGAAAGTGAGCAGCACCTTTTTTCCCCGTGTTTGTTTTCCGTCGGTTTGAAAAGTGTGATGGAAATCGCTGCACGCTTCGCCGCCCTAGCCCGCCTGGATCTCCCATTCGAGAAGTATGTGCGGGAGTTCTGCGGGCTCGCCGTGTGTACGGCGCTAGATGACGCAATGCTCAACTCTCTGTTCTGGATCGGGGCCAATTACTATCGCCCCGTGGACCTCCCAGACACCACAGAACTGAGCTGGAGGGAAGGAATCCTCCGGTGTCTGGAGAGTGTCCAACCCCGATCCAGAACCAGCCCGCAGTCAAGCCCGCCGGCGGTTCCCGAGTCAAGCCCGCCGGCCGCTGGCCTCTCAGCGCTTTTGGACATGGCACTACCTCCCGAGTTCTCTGCCCCTATCCTCTCACCAGAGTTCGCTCCAGAAAACTCTCCTTTGTCTCCCGAGTCTCCGCTGGTCCTGTCCAGCCCTCCTTCGTCCCCTGAGCCCTCTGTGTTAGCGAACTCCACTCCTCCAGTGCCCACTCCTCGAAAGCGCCCTCTAGAGCCCGCTCCTCAAAACCCTAGTTTCCCCCAAGAAAATTTTTTTTGGGGGGGCCATATAGCCGTGGCCGAGCCCTCTGAGTCCCCGGAGGATCCACCATGGCCCCCTGAGTCCCCTGCTCCGCCATGGCCCCCTGATACCAGCTCCGCCATGGCCCCCTGAACTGTCTGCTCTGCCATGGCTCCCTGATCCGCCCTGGAGGCCTTCCTTGTCTCCGCCCTGTTCCTGTCCTGCACCAGCCTCCAGGGCGCCCGCCTCCCCTCCCCGATGTTACTGTTACAGCGCGGGACGCGCCTTCCGGGAGGGGGGCGATATCTGTCACATGTTTGTTTCTGTTTAGTTCCTATCTGCCCTTATTTAGTTCTGTTCCTGTTTTCATTTAGTTAATCCTCGTTCATTCGGATCACCTGTGTTGTATTAATCATCTCGTTTGCTCCTTAGTTTGCGTTCCTTATAAGCCCTCAGTTTCTGTGTCTTCTTTGTCTCGGATTAATGTTATTTTAAACGGTTATAGTGTGTTGATGTTTATTAAAAACTCCTTTTCTTCTACTCCTTCGTCGTGCGCAATTACTACAACCACAACCCCGTGACAATGTGTGTGTGTACTGTGTATATTTATATGTGTATATATATATATATATATATATAAATACACACACATACATGCATATATTTAATATGCACATTACACATACACATATTATGTAAACACAAACTTTTATTTTGGATGCGATTAATCGATTCATTAAAGAATCTTCATTTAGAATAAAAAATATTCTAAAAAAACTATTAGGCAGCACAACTGTTTTCAGCACTGATAATAAAAATAAATGTTTCTTGAGCAGCAAATCAGCATATGAGAATGAGTTCTGAAGGATCATGTGACACTGAAGACTGGCGTAATGGCTGCTGAAAAAATTGCTTTGCCATCACAAGAATACATTTTTAAAGTAAAAACAATTAAATATATTAAAATTGAAAGCAGTTATTGCAGTTTTTACTGTATTTTGATCAAATAAACGGATGACTAAGTAAGAATGAGACATTTTAAATCATTTTAAAAAACATTTTAAAACATTTTAAAAAACCTACTAACCCCAAACTTATGTTAGTGTCATTTTGAAGTAATTTTTTAAATATTATATTATTTTATATTATTATTTATATTATAGTACTGCTACAGAACTGTCGCTCTGATTAATGATCTCTATAAACTATTATTTTAAATAATCCTTATTCACTAATTATAAATGACTGGTATGGTACAAAAAATGTGTTAGTAGTAATATCTCTAAACTGAACTTAAATAAAAAATGTAAAAGAGTTTAGACATTTTCTATGCTGGATTTGCTCAGTTAGCACAGAAGCAACTGTATTTGTGTGTTTGTTCAGTAGACAGCGTGAATGTGGAGGAGCTGGAGAGAGAGCACAGAAGGCAGGTGGTGGAGAGGTTTCAGACCGCCCCATTTGAGGAGATAGCAGCCCACTGCGGGGCCAGGGTGAGTCCAATGCCTAGCAAGCATACACACTCTAATTTTATCATCAAATAGCACAAACACAGCTCTTCTGTTCAGCTCCTACATCTGTTCTTTTCTTTTTTTATTGTGCATGAACTCTCCGCCTGTACTGTTTCTCTCTAGGCTTCCCTGTTGCAGAGTAAACTCAACCAAATCTTCGAAATCACAATCAGGTACATAATATAAAACTGTTTTCTGTAACATTGAATTTTTTTGTAAGTGTGAATATGTTATGTAACTAACAACCATATAAAAATACACAGAGTAGGAAACCACTACAGTGGAAAAAGGCTGTATTGTCTGTCTCATGTGATTGACACTTGTTCCATCTCTCTTTCTCTTTCTCTGTTGGATAGGCCTCCACCGAGTCCGTCTGGCTCTGTCGGGAATGGTCACGGCCGGAGCCGCTCCGTACCAGTCTATGAAATGAAGTTTCCAGACCTCTGTGTATACTGAGAGACCCTGGAGCCCTAGTCACCACATACAGCTGTTTTCATCGCACTATTATCACTCCTTCTTATGTCCAGGTGTAACTCTGTTTCTTCTAAACTGTGTTCTCTAGTGTAATATCAGACCTTAGATAAGGATTACGGCTGTACTTTATCCTGAAGTCTATTTATGCCAACGAAGACAAACAAACCAAGAGAATATACCATATGTTGGTTAAAAATGCACTTAGTCTAGACGACAAAGGACAGAATTTATCGACAAATGATCGTATCTTGTCTGGGAGCGTAGAGAGCAGAATGAGGTTTTCATGTTTAGGTTACTGTGTAAGTGTGTACAGTCTGTTGTAATTGGTTTTCTTGTACAACTAAAGAGTAAAGCTGCCTTACATTTTGTATCTTAAGTTAAGAACATTTGTCAAAGAATGTCCCAAATGTTTTTTTTTTTGTTTTTTTTCTTTCAACGTGTGGGTATCGACAGTTTAGCTAAATACAAGCTTTGTTTGCATGTTTAAATCGTCTCTACATGCTGCAATAACAGTTGTATTTAAAGCAATAATTATTGAATTTAAAAGTAAAAACTCTTGGGTAGAAGCTGAGGAAAAAATACAGCAAATACTAAGTTTCTAGTTCAACTCAATGCAGTATTCCAGTCAGAACTGATGGCTTAATGATGTTGTGTATAAGAAAGTGAATGTTACATTCACATAAAGTCAGACCTGTATCATTATTCATTATACTCTTGTTAATGCAGTTTCTTACGTGAAAGGTTTTCATTTGTGTAAAGTTTGTTTGATTGCTTAAGTTTTTTTTTTTTTTTTTCTGAACCAGAGTGAGTTAATGTTATCATTGGCGAAATTAGCAAAATTTCACAGGCAAAAAAAAGTCCATTGTTTACTGGCAATGGTGTCACAATGTATAAAGCACAGTACACACAGAAATCACTTTCAAACCAAGCAGATTTCTGCGAATTTGTGTAACCAATTTGAACCCATTGCGAAATCTGCTTGGGGAAATCTTTTGCCCTGATGTGAAATTACAGATTGTATGTATTCGTATTGAAATGACTTTTTGCAATATTCTCTTTCAAACCAAGCAGCTTTCTGTTGGCCAATGCATGCCACCTCACGGGAAATTCTCGTTCACATGGATTCCTGTTGAGATAATGGCATTTTGCGTGCAGAATTAAAAGGTAAAAGCTAGAGAGGTAAAAACCCTACCCTAAAAAGGTAAAACCCCTACTTAGGGTCTAAAGGGATCAATTATCTACCTTTTTTACCAGGATTAGTGCATTTCATTTGACACTTGTACAGTAACAAGTCCTTTATTTTACTTACATTTGTAAATAATTTCAGGTTTACAACAAGATTTTGTCCTGGATTTAAACGCAGCACTTTAATGCTCACTGTGTAAATGTGGTGTATGCTGGAAAATATACTTTATGTTGTGCAAAATTTCATTTTGATGTGTTCTTGTCTAAAATTTTATGGTGTGTAATCTGTTGTCATGTCATATTGTTCCGGTTCCACATAAAAACATGGACGTTTATCTTGTTTTTCTGTCGTAAAACCACCTGGGTTTTTTTTTTTAGTTCATGTTTAGTTTCATGTTCTGGTATTTTACTTTATATTCATCCTTGGTGATACCCTGAATTTATTTGCAAGCATAAAAACAAATTGGTTTATCTTCTCTGTTTATATGGCTATGATGAAATATTCTAGACTGCTTACATGTGAGGTGATTTTGCATGTATGAAATATCAGAGTTTAGTCTTTCCTTGTCAGCTGCTGCATGCACTCGGTGTTTTGTCTGTGTTTTTACCATTTTTCATTTAAGTGAGATCATTACAACACTGTGGACCGTAATAAGTCAACTTAGTTCCTGTTATGTATGTGTTTAGATGCCGTCACTGTAAAAGGATGAGACTTCAGAACTGTGTTCTGTGAATGTTTGCCTACATGAAATCATTAAGTGATGTTCATATGTGGTGTGAATAATAATATCAATTAAAGACTAATTTTATGAATTCAAAGTCTGACCTGTGTTTATAGCTTTATTGGCAACTGCACATACGTCTGAATGATTCTAATGAATGCTCGTTTCTCAGAAATGAACCGTTTTGTTCTTTTCTGCATGAAACAATCATGTAACATTTTCAAAATTTACAGTATAATACAATTCAATAATCTAAAATGCTTTCTTTAGCCTCTAAACCAGTATTTAATCACCACAGCATCTCTATGTATAGAATTCAGAATTTATTGTTGACTACAATGTGAATAAACTCTAAGCATCAAGAATTAAGTGCTACTGGTAACACCACCCACCCTCTTTTTGTTTACTATGCATGATAAGTTTGCTGGGAAGAAAGTATATTAAAAACAATCCCCTATCCACTCCTCCCATTAAAACCCCCTCACTGGCCCTTCTTCTGGTACTCTTTGTTTATGACGTTTTTGAAGAGCGTGAGAAGGGGTTTCTGACTGCGCTCGTCCCAGGACTTCATGAAGCCTCCATAGCGCTTACTAGCAGTCGGGCTGCTCCAGCGGAAATGTTTCATTTTGTAGGAGCCATCCTTCTTATCCTGCTGGTCTAAAGCGCCCTCCTCTTGAGGATAGTCGACCTCGTTGGTAGCCAGCTCGCGCCTCATCTCAGCTGGGAGAGTCTCGGCGGATTCCTCCTCCATGCCGTTTGTGTACACCTTGATAGGCCTGCGCTTGCGACCCACTGGCTTTCCCCAGCGGAAATGCTCCATGGAGTAGGAGCGCTTGTGCTCGTGCCGAGGGCTGGACTCGGGGTCCATTTGCTCATCAGGAGCGAGGGCTGCTGGGGACAGGGGTGCGAGGACCTCGGTTTGCTCCAGCTCGGAGGGAGGCTGCAAATGGCTTTCTCCAGGGTAGACGGGGGTTTCATCTGTCAGATCAGACCTGCATAGCTGTATGCAGTCCTTGGGAAGAGCAAAAGAAGAAGAAACTAGAGAGTTCTCATTCAGGGTTGTGGTTTGTTCAAATACGTAATCCTGAACAATTAGCATTCATGATGTTAGTCTCACTATTAATCAATACGATTTTGAATTAGTGAGCTAACTTGCAGATTGAGCTGAAAGAACTAACATTAGCAGCTAAGCAGTCATGTGTGCAAGGTATATTGTAACTCACCAAGATGTTCTCGTCAGTGGTGAGGTCTCTGCAGCGGGCGTTCTCCCAACACTGAGCTCTGACTTCAGATCCACCCGCACACAGAACAGCCAGAGCCAAGAGCCAAGCAGGACACAACATCCTCACTCCACTCACCATGTCTGATACAGCACAATGATTCATGCCAATATTGATAACACAGCAATATTCACATTTATGCATACACTGTAAAAAAAATTCCGTAAAATATGGTAGCAACGTTTTAGGTTTTACGGTTTTAACTTAAATTTACAGTCGTTCTCCCAACACTGAGCTCTGACTTCAGATCCACCCGCACACAGAACAGCCAGAGCCAAGAGCCAAGCAGGACACAACATCCTCACTCCACTCACCATGTCTGATACACACATTAAGGGCATGCACAGTTATGCAAAGCATTATTTCATTGCACACCAGAATTAAAAGAACAAAGAAAACATTGTGAACAGAATGCATGTCTGTGAAATAATGCTTTATATTAATAAAATAAACATGAATTATTAGACATTGCAAAAAAAACAAAACATTAAGAAAATATGTAAAGCTCAACCTCAGTGGATGATTTTTTTACCCACCTGTTATGCAGAAAGAAGTGAGCCGACCAAAGTTTTTCTCTCGGAGGATCTCTGATCTGTCTGGTTATGTGTGCGTTTGCTTGTCTCTGATGTCTGAGACCCTCATCTAGTCATCTTTTATAAGCTACCTGTGCGTCAATTCCTCAAGGCCACCAAACTCTGTCACTTTTAATGGGTGGTGCAGGTAGGAAACCCTGGCGCATCATCTAAGGTACGGATGAGTAATCCATCAGAGATTGTCAGTCAACAGTGAAAAGACAGTTGTGAATGAGTGCAGGATTAGGATCTTCACTCAGCTTATCAAATCATGATGGTTTTTCTCATTACGTTTAAGGGCATACGTGTCGGTTTACATGAGTTAGGTGATTAAAGGTTTAAATTCACTTTAAATCAATGATGGGGCATGTTTTTGTGTGTGTGTCAGGGCACATAGGTGCTAATCTTGTGTTGAAATGAATGGGAAGGTGAGGGATTTGAACATCCGGGGTGGTAGAAGCAGAACAAAAGCTCATAATACAAAATGGCCATGGTTTGATCAGATTGAATGCCACTAACAGATTAGGTTGAGCAGAACATTACAAAACATAAAATCATGGTATTACTGTATATAGAATGCTGTATTGCTGTATCTTTGCCGAAAATTACAATAAATATAAGTCAAATTCTTCATGGAGAAATAAAAAAAGAGTTAATATTTGCAGAAAATATTAAATAAAAAATATATTATAATGTTAATATAATTTATTTAAAAAATTAAAAAAATATGAATAATATACAGTAATAATAATGTCTCACTTTGAAAATAAGGCAAGCTAGACATTTTTTCAGTGGTAACTCTTCAGGGAGAGCTACATTGTAAAAATGTCAGCAATTTGGGGAAAAAATCTGCAAAAAAAAAACAAAACATACTTTACCATTTTACTTTATATATTTTTATATATTGCATATTAATGAAATATTTTATTTGCTATATTTATTTATATTTATACACATTTTTACATAACAAGGCCAATAAAAATAGAGAAACCATGGTCACTGAAAAAATACACTGAAAACTGGTGGAATTATTATTTAAATATATTAGAAATACAGTAAAAAATAAATGCTATTATTTATAATTGTTCCATTTCACTATGCAACATGTATAGCTTTACAGTAAATTATGATCATTTATTTTAAAGTTGCAATTATTTTAATAATACCTATTAGCTCAGTTATTATATTAACATTATATAATTTAATGACAAAATACAGTCATCAAAATGCCACCCTGTAATGTGTAATCTATAGCTGTCAGTTTTAGTGCAAATTTTAATCTGACCTTGTATGCCTTAAACTGCAACATGTACATATTTATTCCTGCTTTAAGGCATAAAATATTTGTTATACAAAATAAATGTTATATTTGAGATCTTAAGAATGAAACACTGACAAATGTCAAAGAGCATGTCCTAAATTTCAATCAACCAGGCTCACTCTCTCAGCTGAGTGATTCTGTTCATTCAAAATATGGTTTCTACATTGGTAACTATTCCGCCTGGAGCAAAACTATTCTAAGGGGCATTTTCCATTAAGGGCACATCATTATATTGGAGTAGTGACCTTGCTGGCTTTTATATTTATGTTATTGGTCTCTTTGGCACACTGAGTTCTCAGAGACAGAAAGTCACAGATGAGTATACTGGGGTCAAATGAGGGGAGTGGATTTAAAAGTGTGTGAGCAACTTTGCCCCTCTGCTTATACATAAAATACAACAAGTGGTCAATGAAAATGTTAGCCGTTTTCATATGTAATTTTCCAGATAGGTGTTATCTATAGCTAATAACAAATAAACATAAATGATGTAAAGAAAGTGGTCATGGAAATGATTATATCTTGGACAAAATGTGATATTTAATTTAAGGAAAAAATTACATACAATCAGTTAAATGCAAAGCATATAATTTATTGTATATTTTCCTGTCTCTTTACAGGCTATTGACCCACACTGCACAGTGAATGTAATCCTATTAGAGAAGATTTAGAGGATAAGATGCCTGTCAACCCATAGTAACACTGTTAATAGCACAGCATTTCCTACCAACAGTGAGTGAGTGAATGGAAGATATACTTTCTTAACACATTCAGAATGACAAGAGGATTTGCCTGCCTGGTACAAGGTAACTTTGCTTATCTCATTTGTGTTTGCCTTTTCATTCATTTCATTTTTCATTTGTTGGCTTTGCGGAGGCTTTTATTTTAGCCTTTGAAATGTATATCATGCTCATTTTTGATGTGTGCATCTGTTAAGTTGCATGCACTTGATGAATTTTGAGTAAGAAGTTGGAATGCAGTTGTATTGCTACTTTATGTATAAACTAACAAACTCAAACTTAATATAGACTTGGGGGCAATATGAGTATATAAATATGGAGTGAACCTTTAGATAATCGTCTTACAAACCTGATTCATGCAAATCAAATAAGAATTCTGACATAACAGAACAGAAAGTAAATGTTAAGCAGTTAAACCAGTTCCTAAAGGCTGCTGGGCTACACAACTGCATATGGAAGTAGGCCATAACATGCAGGCCCGGTACCATTATCACAAGTGTTATGAATGCAGAATCACTGACTGTTCATTATTATACTGTAGTGCTTTTTAGAATTAACTGTATATTATTAGCACATTTGCATAACTAACTACTTTAAGTAAAGTTATTACATTTAGCTTATGTTTACATCTACAAACTTCACTTTATTTTAAATAATGTTCATGAAGAATATTTATTGACAATCATTCAGAAAACTAGTCTAGAAAATGATAAATGGAGTGTTGATTAAGAAAACTCAAGGGCCCATTTTTTTTCTTTTTGTATTCATGTTGTTTTCATGACTTTGAAAACCTTTTATACCATTAATAGCATTTTTAAGAACAAGAAATTTAACTCTAAAAATGTTGTGGTGTAACCATCAGGAATGAACATATTTTCTTTACAGCATGAATGCATGTACACATCTTAATCATTTTCCAAAAGTTTTTAAAATATTTTTTTTTGCAGTTTTTTAATACAAATATTATGAATTACTAATTCATAAATATCATTAAGCTTTTGCGGAGTCGCACCATATGATGTTTTACAATCTTAACTAACTTTGCCATAAAAAGGCTAAATAATTTGATATTTTAAGAAATTATTGATATTGACAAACATGGGGTCTGCAGTTTGTTTTTGTTTTTTTGCATGCTTTTATGGTTCTGTGTGTTGTTTACAACACATTACAAATATTAATAAGCAGCTTTGTTGATTAAAAAAATAAAATTACAATAATAAAAAAAAAAATCATTAATTAAGCCAAACTACAATAATGCATTTCTTTTAAAGAGGCTTCTTTCTTCATCATAATATAAGACATTTTTTTCCCCCTCTGACAATTTTGACATTATGCCACACAAAATGTCAACAATAATTTTAATTAAGAAATTGTACTGTATATTCAAAATATTTCATGTATGAACTCCTGTTGTCAAAACCAAAGATGCTGTTGAAGAGCCTAAAACCACAGACTCTTTTAAAACAGACACTTCTCAGACTCATCGAGTTAGCAGCGGCCTAATGCAGTGTGGGGAATACAGCAATGAAGTGATGCCAAACGGACAGTGTCGTTTAATAGCCACATTACCTCAGCTGGAGGAGCAGAGGTGTCCAGACATGTTCCGCTGTACAGATGAGGTCTCCTACTGGCTGCGTGAGAATGAAGAGCGCAAGCAGCAAATGCAGGACCTGAAAGAGACCATCTCAGAGCTTCAAGAGGAGCTGAGGAATCACAGGCATCGCATCAAAGTGCTGGAGCTGCAGGTAGGAGCTACAGGCTTTTAGCAATAAAAGTCGCACAAAAGTGCTTTTCTATGAGACGCATTCCATCATATATTTCTCATGACATCCTATATTTTTAAAGGTGAATTGGTTTGAGACAGTCAAACAGGTTTTTATGTTTTATGTTTTTATTCATCATAAAAGATGAATCACTGTCTGACCATCTGAGATGTAGGTATGGAGATAACGGTTAGAGTCCAAATTTTTTGGTAGTATTGCAGCACACCGTGATATTTGTTGTTTGCTTTGGGCATCTGTTTAGACCTGGGAATGGTGACACTTGACGTCAGGCTTAAAGGGTTAGTTCACCCAAAAATGAAAATTCTGTAATTAATTACAGATAAGATATTTTTGATGAAATCTGAGAGCTCTCTGACCCTCCATAGACGGCAAGGATACTATCATGATCAACGCACAGAAACGTAGCAAGGACATCGGTAAAATAGTCCATGTGACATCAGGTGTTCAACCATAATTTTACGAAGCTACGAGAATACTTTTTGTGCTACTTTTTCATTTCTGTCTATGGAGGGTCAGAGAGCTCTCAGACTTCATCAAAAATGTGACCTTGGACCACAAAACCAGTCTTAAGTCACTTGGGTATATTTTCAGCAATAGCCAAAAAGACACTGTATGGGTCAAAATTATCGATTTTTCTTTTATGCCAAAAATCATTAGGATATTAAGTAAAGATCATGTTCCATGAAGATATTTTGTAAATGTCCTACCATAAATATATTAAAACAATTTTTGATTAGTAATATGCATTGCTAAGGACTTCATTTGGACAACTGTAAAGGCGATTTTCTCAATATTTTGAATTTTTTGCAGCCTCAGATTCCAGATTTTCAAATAGTTGTATCTCGACCAAATATTGTCCTATCCTAACAAACCATACATCAATGGAATGCTTATTTATTCAGCTTTCAGATGGTGTATAAATCTCAATAAAAAAAAATTTGACCCTTATGACTAGTTTTGTGGTCCAGGGTCATAAATATCTTAATTTGTGTTCCGAAGATGAACGAAGGTCTTGCGGGTTTGGAATAACATGAGGGTGAGTAATTAATGACAGAATTTTCATTTTTGGGTGAACGAACCCTTTAACAAGTAGATTATGTGTTCTATCATGAGGGGCCATTCACACAGAACGCGTTTTTGCATTCAACTGTGCTCCTTTTACATTTATTTTAGATGGATGTTTGACTGTTGCGATATCATCTTTTGTAGTATCTCGTGCATGACACAGCATTCTAAAATCACGCCGCTCAAGTTCAACTTTTTAAAAACGTCTCTAAGGCTTGCATTTTTTATTCTTTTTTTGCATCTGCTATGCTGTTTTTCAATGTTTTCCGTTGTTTTTCTATGTAAACATGTATTAGACAGACATATTTGACCTTTGCTCTGGTGTCTTTAGCAGCGTCTTGCTCATGACATTGCATTCTAAAAACGTAGCACTCAAGTAAAAAAAAAAAAAAAATGTGTGTCTAGGCCTTTCATGTTTTTCATTCCACGTGTCTTACTTTTTTAAACACCAAAATGTATTTTTGCACTTCACTGCACTGCTTTTCCATTTCCATTGATTCTGTGTGTAAACATGCTAGATGGACGTGTATATATTTTTGCAGTGTCTTGCGAATGACACATTGTTTTAACAACACAGCACTCAAATTCAGGGGCGCCGTAAGGGGTGGGGGGATGTTAGGACGATTCCAATTTCTACCGAGGGGGACCCCCAACCCCCAACTCATTTACATGGTGTAATCATTCATTTGATCGGTTCATGAAAAGGTTTATTCCACCCCTTTCAATTCAGCTGAAATTTCAATCAGTTTGAGCATTTTTATTCCGATTGAGATGTTTACAGCATTTTCATTCAGATTGAACTTTTAAACTGGTTATATTTGGTATACAATGCTCCATGCATGGTTTATTTAGCAGGCAAAGTCTTAACTTTATAGCACATATTACATATTAACAGGTGTGCTGCAGCTCTGCCTTACAGGAATCCAGAGACAAATGTTTCAGTAGTGCACTGTTTCTGTACTAATGCCTCCTTAACCCTGATCAATTACTGGATTAGAGCTGGAACCAGTCCCATAGACATATAGTAGCAAACACTTTGTCAACAATTCTTTGCATCCACGTACAACAAAAATGCATAGCCTATGAACTGGTAATTTCTGTATGTATGAATGTCTTATTTCTTACCATTAGAAACATGAAACAATTTAGTTAGGCTATTTATGTAGGTATTATTTTATTTTGAAGAAACTGATTTACTGAATGATGATTTGAGTTACTTGTTAGCTCAGTAAAAAGTAAATATCAAACACACATACATTTCTATGTTTATTGTGTGTGTGCGCATGTATGTATAGTGCCGTGAAAAGTTTTTGCCCCCTTCCTGTTTTTTTACATTTGTCACACTTGAATGATTCCGATCAAACAAATTTTAATATTACACAAAGATAACCAGAGTAAATACAAAATGCAGTTTTGAAATAATGACTTCATTTATTAAAAGGAAAAAAGCGGTCCAAACCTGCCTGGCACTGCGTGAAAAAGTAATTGCCCCCTAAATCTAAGAACTTGTCGTGCCCCCCTTTGCAGCAACAACTGCAATCAAGCGTTTGCGATAACTGGCAATGAGTCTTTCACATCACTGTGGAGGAATTTTGGCCCACTCTTCTTTGCAGAATTGTTTTAATTCAGCCACATTGGAGGGTTTGAGCATGAATGGACTGTTTAAGGTCATGCCACAGCAT